TCTGTAGTCAAATCACTACTTCTGGGTGTAGGGAGGCCTTCAGCATTAACTCTTACAGTTCCTTGCAGCACAATTCCCAGACTTATTTTTATTGGAGCTTCCTTTAGATGGGTTGATGCCCCTCCCCATCTTCACCCTGACCCCCTCATACCATTCCTCGGCATGTTTGCGGCACTATCTCTTTTTTTCCTGTCCAGTTTTTCCTCTCTCCTCTCCTTTGTTTTTAATTCTACTTTTCCCCTTCTCATCTTGTTTCTTACCAGTGTATTTTCCCCTCCCTGCATCCTCCTTTTAATTGTTTTTGATGCCCTCTTTCAGGTAGCTCCCTCTCCCCATCCTCCTACTTACTGTAAGGGTGCATGCTACTTATAGTGGATGTCCATTGGTGGCTCTGTGGGGCTGGGTCATCTCCACTCTCATGGCTGAGCTTAATGCTACACAGTTAAGAATAGTTTGGCTGGTGGGCAGCTGCATGGGCCTGTGGTATTGCACACATGAGCTGCTACAACAGCTGCTTTAGAAGCTACCTTGGGAGCAGGGAGGGAAGGTAGGTGCTTTCAAGGAATCACTCAGTGTTCTACCCACAAGCACAGATTATGAGCAGTTGCTTCCCCTGCCCTCATTGGGTTTTTTCTTTGTCCCACATGCACTCCTGAGCTAGCTTGGGAACCCCCCTTCTATAGAGCCCATTCGCCAGGTTAGGAAATCCGGTTACACTGGTAAATAGAAAGATTCAAAACTCTACATTTAAAAAAAAAATCCCAGTACAGAATGGGCTGAGCTGAGAATCTGGGGATGAGACGTTTCACCATAGACATCTGTGGCTGAGATTCAGGGATTTCTTCCCATCCTCATTCTTTATGGAAGTATTGTGCTTTTTGGAAGTGTTGGATAAAAACCATTATGGGTAGGCATGATTTGGTGGAGATGTTAGGGATAACCCCTCTGAACATGGTAGTATGCACTTACTGGCCACCAGGCACATGAAGTGTTATGATAGCTGCATCTTTCCCCTCACCCCAAGTATTGGGGCACACGTCAGCAGACTGTTTTCTCTGCATATAGGAGTCAGGGGGTGGATCTCAGAGTCTCTATAAATTACACCTGCCCTGCTGGGTGTATCAGTGTAAAGGCAACATCAAGCTGTGTGCGTGCCTGGCAGCCAACAGCCCTGTTGCTCAAAAGTCAGTTGGAATTTTGCCATCATCACCACGGCCTAACTTGCAATTAATGGAGAACTCTGCGGGTAAGGTAAGAAAATACCCAGTATCCTTAGTGACTGTCAGAAACCCTGCTGCTGTGGAGCATCTGTGCCACTTCTCCTCAAGTAACTTCCAGACGCAGGCCAGATCCTTTGAGATGCAGATGTGACTGCCTGTGGTAGAATGCAGCATATTTTAGTCCTGCTTTAGCTGCAGGGAAAGTTCTGATGTGGCATTTGGGTGTCTTTCTGTACCTCCACTATCCTAGTGGAAGTTCTTCATGTCTGGGCTTGCGCTCTCCACTAATGAGTGTCGTTGGCAGGTGAGGGGATAATTCCTACTTTTTACTAAAGGTAAACAGAATTGTTAACATTCTGAGTTATTTTCTCACAGGCGTATTTAAGAGAGGGTGGCAGATGGCAAAGAAAAGGGACTACAGCATAGTGGAGGCAGTACAGACTGAGTTATTTCCAAACCAATATCCCAGCTCTTATACCTCATTCACAAAAAAGTAAGAGAAAAAAGGGCATTCTGAGGTTTTAAACAAAGTAAGAGGGACAGTGTTGTATGCTGCAACTTGAGGAGAATCATTGCTGATCATGTACTATTTTCTCACACACAAAATCCTTTAAGGTGAAGTTAAGGTTGCAGTACATATCAATGGTTTGAAAGCTTAACTTTAAGAATAATAGGTTAAAAACAATTCAAACATTACAAATCCCTTTTGCCACCCAGAAGGGGTGTGGACCTGTTCATTCAGGGTACCTATAATTAAGTTTGAATCTTTTATACTGACAAAAGGCTTCATGTACATTCTGAAGACATTAGATTCCTATTATACCAGCTAATGCTTTTTATAAAGAGCATCTGAAGGGACATTTGCATTTTTCAGCATCTTGACAGGGCACGTTAGAAACCAGGGAATAGTGGTTTTATTTTTAAAAATAGAGTTCTGTAGAAAGCGTAAATATATCATAACATCTAGAAAATTCTCTTTACTATTCTTATAGTCTCAATGCATCACCATGGTTTCTACAGAAGTTTTGGTCATGGTTACTGTCCAAAGTGATGATATAATTTTGATTTGATATTCACATCAGGGCCTTTTCTTCTGGTATTGGCTGTAGTCATCCCTAGAGCTGGTCCAACATTTTCTGATGGAACGTTTTTCTGTCAGAAAATGCTGTTTTGTTGAGGTTGAAACTTTCCATGGATGCGTTGATTCCGATGAAATTTAATTTAGAAAAAATGTAAAACACAGTGATTTGTTCTGATTCAGCATGAAAACAAATTTTGAAATCAGGGAATTTCCTGTGACATGGAAATTCCTCTTCCTGCATACCTGTAGCAATCCCTCCTTAATAGTTTTTATTTCTTAGGATATTATGTCTCATTCTGAATTTGGGAAACAGGCTCACTTTATAATTAGCCGAACCAAAATTCGGTATCCAAAAATAATGATGAATATGTTGAGTGACTCCATATGGTGTAAGATGTATTACCTACATCCCTTTCCTCTATACAGTAGTGGAGAAAAATTGTATCACACCGAAGGAAACAGTTGCACCAAGCTAGAAGTCACTGAGTAGAAATACCCACTGCTCGATATAGACCTATTTAGCTAACTACAGGTTGCTGAAAGGGCAAGAGAAAAATCTTCATCAAAGGAGCAATGAAGTTACACCGCAGGGATGGCTTTGGCCGAAAGAGGTACTTAGCTTTGATGAGATGAAGGTGAAATATGGCCAACCCTCCCAACTTGGGATCCAGCATGTACACATCAAGGACTTTATTTCTAGGTTTGATCTTAGAAGTTGCACTCCCAGCTGGACTTTGCATGCTATGGAACTGACTCTCATAGAAGAAACAGCTAATAGTAGAGACAATAGTGGGACTGGTTTGAGACTATGGCTAAGAGACAGCCATTTAGATCTGGAATCTAGAGTTTGATGCATAAATTCCAGATTCTATTTCTAAATGGCTTTTCCTTGTCCTATATCCAAACAAGGTCTTAGTAGACTCTTTATTGTTAATTGATCAAGCAAGCAAATCAATGTTCCCTATGAACAGAGAAGCAGTGGGGGAGTGGATATCCACCTAAATTGCTGGTGGAACTGACATTTGATACAAAATTTCTGGAACCATGTTTTTATTATTTTATTATTATAAATGTCCTGATTTCCTTTGTTAAAACTCTAAGGTTTTGGTTTTGGACTGGTATCACAGAGAGACTGTCTATAAGCAGAAGAGACAATTGATTACCATCTTTTTGGTGCTAGTAGGCATATGAATTACTGTTTTAGAAGCTGGGGAGCAGATCCAGCAAATGATTAGCACTGTAACCTTCCAGAAACTGGCTTCCAGGGTCAGCAGGATGAGTAATGTACACAGCATACAGAGATCTGGGGGCCCAAACTTTAGGAACATGTCTATCCTATGATGTAATTTCATTGCCTCTTTGTCTTAAAATATTGAAAAAACAACAAAAAGCTTTCTCTCTCCTCATAGTTTTGTCCAACAAAGGTAGGGTACATCAGGAGTTGCTATACTGCAAGATGGGAAGAGAAATCTTCTGTGTGTTTATGGAATAATATTTTCCAAACTCCATTCCAAATGTTAAGAGTATGTTCTAGAAGAGTATGTGCTGCCTGGTGATTTCTAATGGATGAGAACATGATCAAGGGACCTCAGGGCAAATATGTTCTTCCTCCTATCTAGTCAAAGCTACCTCCTGCTCTTAACCAGCCAGAGAGCTACAGCTCAAGGCACAGAAATAGACTGGGAAAGGTGAGGACCCTGCACCTTTCGTTCATCAAAGTTTATTATTCTACAACAGTTCTGTAGTGCTGTGAATTATTGCTTTCTAAATGTCAATAACGTACATTACTTGCATTGAGGAGCTGACAGCCTAAATAATAGAACAGCAGCACAGGAAAGGAAGGATGTGGGGCATTATTGATTAAGAAGAAAGGAGCAAGGATTGCTTGGAGAGACAGATTTTAAAGAGGGGTTTGTGGAAGGACAGAGGGTATTTGGCTGATGGGGACAGGGCCAGCTTTCCAGATGTAGGGGACAGCATGATGAAAGGCATGAAGCTAAGAACAGGAAAAGGAAACAGCCTGTACATTCCCCAGCAGCACACTGGGGAGCTTGGGAATGGTACAATTTAGCACAAAGGGAACAGTTAGGCCTGAGGACTGAAGGAAGAAAAGGGAGTGAGAAGATAATTTGGAGTAAATTCTATTCTATTCTGCATAGGTTCTTGCTCTACATTTATCACTATAGCATGTAAGCACCTTCCAAAAGTGCATTAAGCAATATGACTAATATCTGTCATATGTTGTTTGTTCTCTCATCCTCCTCCCAGAGGGAGAAGCACGTGCAATGCAGCATCTTGTTTTGGCAGAGGATTTTTTAAATGTACTAATTGCTCTGTTCATATGCTAGAGAAGACAAGGTCAAAGAAATGTGCCTTGCCCATAGAGTGGAAGGTGGTGGGGTTTGTGATGGTCCTTAGTCCCTGGGGGAGTTCATTTCACAGCTTGGATTGGTCCCTGAGAAAACTCTGTCTTCTGCACAGATGAGCTTTGCTCTTATTGTTGAGAGTTCCATTCTGCTTAGGACTTTAGGATGATCTTTGAAGATAAGGACTGATATCTTGAACCTGATTCAGTATTCTCTGGGAAGCCAGTGTCGAGAGCAGAGGATGGGGTGATGTGCTTGCTGTAGCCTGCATTGTTGTGGCAATGTGCTGCAGCATTGTGTACTAGTTTGAGTTTCCTCAGCAGTGAAGGTTTCATGCCCACGTATTCTACATTGCTGCAGTCTAGAGGAAAGGTGATGAAGGTCGTCATCCTCAAGGATGGGACGGGGTCTCCAAGCCAACCAGATATGGTAGATAGCATTACTCATAGACGCTGCTATGTGAGAGCTTAGAATCAATGAGGAATGCAAAAGCGATCTTAGACTACAAACTGAACTGACCTATGGTGAGTGTGAAACTATCACCAAAGGAGACTTCACTGTGACTACAAACTCTTCAAAACATTTTCCTCTTCCCATCTGCCTCATCCCTGTTTTGTTGAGGTTCAGCTTCAGCTAGCTGTTCTTCATCCATACGCTGATCTTGTCCAAGCCCTGGGCCACCTTTGCAGTAGCAGTGTGGTCATATGCGGTGAAGGATAGGTAGAGCTGTTTGTCATCTGCATATTGCTGGCACTTGAGTCCATGTCATCTGACCAATTCACCTAATTGCTGCATGTAGATGTTGAAAAGGACCAGAGAGAGACTTGATTTTTGTGGGACTCCACAAGTCAGGGTCTAGTAGTGGAGGTGCAGTTTTCCATCACTACTTATTGAGCATTTCCTTCCAGGAAGGCTACTAACCATTTAAGCCATTACCCTAGATCTGTCACCTCTCTCAGATGAGACAGCAGAAGCTCATGGTCAACAGTGTCAAATGCTGCAGAGAGGTCCAGGAGGATGAGAATTGGACATTAGGAAAAAACTTCCTGTCAGGGTAGTTAAGCACTGGAACGAGTTGCCTAGGGAGGTTGTGGAATCTCTGTCATTGAAGGTTTTTAAGAACAGGTTGGACAAACACCTGTCAGGGCTAGTTATTACATATTCCTGCCTTGAGTGCAGGGGACTGGACTAGATGCCCTATTGAGGACCCTTCCAGTCCTAAACTTCTATGATTTTTCTATCTATTGATAGGAGAAGACCATGCATCAGTGCCACTAAAGCAGTTTCAGTTCCATATCCTAACCTGAATCCAGATTGTGCTGGGTCTATGATGTTGGCTTTAGCCACAGCTGACTACAAGCTCATCTAACTAGCTTCCCTATGAGCTTGCCCAGTAATGGGAGGTTCGACACTGAGCAGAAGTTATCTAGAACCAGTGTATCCAGGGAGGGTTTCTCCAGTGTTGGTTGGACTATTGCATGTTTGAAAGAGGAAGGGAAGTTTCCTTTTCTGAATGAGGTGTTGGCTATTTTGGTCAGGAGTGGCACTAGTTGGTCATGACTCTTTCACAAGTCCAGAAAGGGTATGTGTCAGATTCACAAGTCTTGGGATGGGATGCCCATAGGGTGTCCAGAACTTCTTGATGAGTGAATGTATTGAACTCCAGGAATGCAGGGGGGCAGGGGCTGTTGGTTGGCAACTGCAAGTGAAGCAGATCTGTGTCATCTGATGAGGCCTCCAGAATGTGTGATTGTTTCAGCCAAATATGTGTTACTTCTTCACAGTGCTTGGTGCTCAGTTCTGATGCAGGTTGTAAGCATTCAGAATTGATGAAGTGGTCTCCCACTCTGGATGGCTCCTGGGGGTGTGTGTGGAATTTGGCAGCTTTAATGGATGCTATGGATAAGAAGGTTTTTCTGGCCTGTAATACAGCCTCACAAAGGCTATGAAGACTTTGTTATGTTTGATCCTGCCTGTATCAGCCTCTTGTTTTCACCCTTGAGCACTCAACTTTCTAACCTCTCTTCATCCAGTGCAGGGTGTCATAAAATCCAGAAAATCTGTGTGTGTAATGGGAAGGAAGGAGACATCTGGGGGCCGCTGTGTCGATGGTTGAGGCCAGGATAGAATGATAATTATTCACCAGATCCCCGATTCTTCATGCTATGGGTGGAGTCTGGTGCTGGAACACTTTTTATAGTGGGAGTGCAGAAAGCCATTGAACAAAACCATAAATTTGGTACATGGTGGAAGCTGTGCATTTGGTTGCTATTATTAGTTCAAGCTGCTGCTGTATCCCCAGCACCCCCTGGTGGAGTGCTGCTGTATTTTAGCGGGCTTTGGAATTTGTTGGAGTCCATCAGTCTTTGTGGTCAAATCACAATCATTGGTCTTTCTTGTTACCTGGGACTTGGAAGGTCTCTGACCACTGCCTAAATGAAATGATGGTCTATCCAAGACAGTGGCTGGGTTGTGATGTCCTCAGTCTGGATATCTAGGCTGAAGATCAGGCCCAGGATGTGACTGGCTGCGTGGAATGGACCTGAGATGACTTGTCAAAGTTCTAGAGAGGCAAGTGAGGCAGTGAGTTTTTGGGAGTTCGGGAGCAGGATTATAGGGATTTAGCAGATTCTATTCTGTGCAGATTCTTATATTGCCTTCATCACAGTAGTATCAGAGTGCCTTCCAGTGCTGCATTAAGTGGTTTGACTACCTTCTGCCACATGTGGCTTGTGCTCTCTCACATATTTTCTCCATCAGGTGAACTGTGTGTACTCTGTAGTGTGTTGTTTAGGTAGGGTTTGGGGGTTGTTGTTTTTTAAGTGTATGTGTTGCTCTCTTTATGTTAGAGAAGATGGGTTGAAGAAACATGCTTTGCATTTGGAACAGAAGGTGGTGAGGTTTATGATGGTTCTTGGCTCCTGTGGGAGTTCCTTCCACAGTCTTGGAACAATCCTCAAGAAAATCCTATCTCCTGTACAGATGAGCTTTCTACTTATTGTAAAGAGTTCCTGTGGGCCAGAGGAGTGGAGCTGTTAACTCTGCTCTTCATCCCTGAGCGGTAAGTGATCTTTCAGATACACTGGACCCAAGCCAATGAGCTCCTTGAAGAAAACGACTGAGACTTTGAACTTGACTTGATATTGACACAAGTAGACGATAAAACTCTCCCTGCTAGCTCCTTTCTCAATCCCTGTGGACATCATTACAGTTCTCTCTGTCACTCAGGGCCCTAACCTGTCCATCATTTTTGACTCGGACCTCTCTGTAGCTCACATCCAGGCTGTGTCTAAGTCTTATAGATTCTTGCTGCATGCTGTCCATAAGACACTGCTTTTCCTATTCATCCACACAGCTGAAACTTTTGCCCAGGCTCTTGTCACCTCACATCTTGGTCACTGCATCATCCTTCTCTCTATCCTTGACAAATGTACTCTTGCCCCACTCATATCCATGCAGAATGCTGCTCAAAGATCACTTTGCTAGCCCATCGCTTTGACCGTGTCACCCCTCTTTTTGTGTCTCTCTACTGGCTCCCTTTTCTCCATCGTATCAAGCACTTGTTTTCACTTTCAAGGCCCTTCATGTCCTCTCCCCACCCTACCTATTATCTCTCACGTGGTATTGAAAGGTCATCTCGTGCCTCTGATCAGCCCTGATGTCCGCCTCCATCACCCGTATGTTAAATTTTCAAACACGCTCTCTTGTGCTTTCTTCCATGCTGCCCCTCATTCCAGGGAGGCGCTCCCTGGAACCATCCACAAAGTGAACTCATTCGCCTCCTTCAAAACCCTCCGTAACACTTTCCTTTGCTGTGAGATCTATAAAAACTTGAGTGCTGATGAGGCCAAGGTCTGTGAACTACACAAACATATTTACACCCAGAGCTGAATCCACCATCCACTGAAGTCAATATTCATTTTCATGCAAAAATAAAGGGTGGTTTTCTTTGTTTTTGTTTTGGCCAGCTCAGCAGTTGTGCTGAAATGTATACATTTGACTCTGCATATGTACACGTGAGTGCTAGTCACTGGTGTGGGCCTATTTTGAGAGGAAAAAATGGGAAAATACAGTGCACATGGGAAAGGGAAGGGTGCTCCAGAGCAGCAGGAAAGATTTAGGTACGTGAATATTGTGACAATCATTCAGAAACTGTATCAGTGCTTATGATTTTGAATTAAATGTAATATCCTATGTAGTTTGCTGTGTTATGAAGACAGCAAACCTTACCTTTAGCTCATGCTAAAGTGGTTGGGCCCAATTTTTATCTCAGTTACACTGGAGTGAACCTGGAATAACTGAGGCCTGGGTTCCATTGTGAAGTTGGATCATGTATTTTTCACTGGAGTGTTTTGCACTGACTGCAGCACAAATGATTCAGTGAGCCCCACCCGCCACCTTCAATTTGTTTGGCCCTGGATCCACACTGAGGCTGTCCTAAGTCAATTCAGGTGTAGCAAGTTGTCCTCTTTGATGACCTCTCTCAAGCTAAAGGGGAACACTCCAACCCTTTAAAGGGGAGACTGCTGCTCTGGTAGACTTGTGCACTCTAATGCCACAGAACCCCAAGAGGTGGGTGGAGGGGGGAAGTGGGCAAGATGACAACTGTCGCAACTGACAACTCATCATTAGTGAAACAAAGATTCATCCGTGCTGCCACTCAATTGATTCAGCCTGCAGCAACTGGGACTCTGTTGTTGTTTGAGCTATACAATCCCAGGGCACTTGCTGTGTTTATTTATCCTCCCAACAATTGATTGTAGTACTTTTTGTATCTGAACACAAGACCATTTGTACTGATTGAAGGGGACAATTTATTGTTTAATTTCTCCAGTGTGGACAAGTTCTGAGAGTAGACGATGGCCCATATTGTGCTGGAGGTGTCATTAGTTTTAAAACCTCATATTAGGATGTTAATGAAATCCCACCAGAAATACTGGTTGTACAATCCAGCATTCAGATGTTAATAAGTCTTTGCATGTGAAGATGTGTAAGTCAAACTCTTGTGATTGGCTCAGAGGAACAGTTGGGAAGCCAATTTCCTTGTTTGTTAGGCCTTGTCCACATGGGGAAATTGACTGGCATAGCTATTGTTGAGTGAACTATTCCCAAGTAGAATGATGATTATTCTGGAATAAAAATACTTTTATTTGGGAATTAGAGGGTCCACATAGGAGAGTTATTCTTTTATAGCTGTATTATTTCAGAATAGCTATGCTGGTCAATTTCCCCTATGTAGGTTAGGCCTTTGAAAGCAAATTCTTTATGAATAAACACTACAGTAACTACACACCTAGATTAAGGATTAAACATCCGATCTGGAAGGGGAAAAGTTTAGCTACTAATGCATCCAAGGTCCCAGCTATTCTGTTAGTGTGTGCAAATGTGATTTTTCATAGCGCAGTCAGTTGTGGGCACACTGAATTGAGGCCATCTTGAGACTTGGTGAAAAATGGGTCCTAATGCCTAGATCCCTGGACAGTGCTCTGATATCACAGGGTGATGCAGTGCTAGAAACCTATAAGGTGCCCAGATATCACGGTGGGGTACTAGTATAAGTATCTAGGTAGAGCTCGTTCAAGCAGCCACATGCTGCCAGGGTTGGTGTTCTGTAACGCTCAGTTTTGGCGCAACTTGGGTCAGTGGTGCACTGCTGCCAGCAGATCTGCAGCGTAACCATGCTCGACAGCCATCAATGCACTCAGGAAGTCTGAAGATGAGGCAGCATTGACTTGACTGTAAATGTTGTGCCTGGCTGTAAATGTTGTCAGAGGCTGAGCCTATGGATCCTCCCAGCTCATACCTTCATCCATCCAAGATGTACCCAATAGCCTGTGATACATTCCCTGGCATAACTTGTTGCTATTAAATTAGCTCAAGGTTCCTTCATTCTAAATTTACCTGGGGGCGGAGAGGACAACTTTTAAAGACCAGTTTTCAGGGGATAACGGTGATGGTGGTAGTCATGCAATGTATCCTTCCACTATGAACAATAGTTGCTAGGAGAAGAATAAGAGCAAACCCTTTTCTGTCCTATTTTGAATATATTTAATGTTGTGTTATTTTATGCTGATGAAACTCGTGTTTGGTTTCTCTGCAGATCAAAACCTCTCCCAACTGCCTGCTCTCTGTGAGAGTCATCCGAGCCAGGAACATCACCTCGAAAGACCTCTGTGAGTTGTGTTCTTCCGTCAGTACTTCCCAGGGCTCACTGACTGTGAGCAATATATGTGAGAAGCAAATGCAGTGTAATTAAAGAGGTTGCACCTGGATTATTACTGGGGGGGCCTGAAGTACCTGCAGATGTGAGGACATAGTCTTTCAGGGCGTTAGTGGGACAGAAGCCTCCCAACTGCGGGTCCTTTTGATTGTCCCTTGCAGTCAGTCATTGCAGTCTGTTAATCTGCTTGGGACAGTTTGTTTATGGTTTTCACATGTGGATAAATCAACTCATAGACTGGAGTTTCACCAGCCAAACTGTGTGAAATGCAAATGTTCCACATGCTTTAAAAAGATGATATAAGGTACTACAGACACTCAGAATCTCTATTTCAATTTCCATCAGATGCGTCTGATGAAGTGGGCAGTCACCCACGAAAGCTTATGCTCCAATACGTCTGTTAGTCTATAAGGTGCCACAGGACTCTTTGTTGCTTTTTACAGATCCAGACTAACACGGCTACCCCTCTGATACTCAGAATCTCTAGTGTCTCAGGGCAAGATAGAAAATTCTGGGCAGCCTAAGCCCCTTGGTGTTCTGGGGTCTCTGCAGTCTCCAGATTCTCAGCCACAGAAAATTATATTGATTCTCCCTTGATAAGAAAAGCAACCTGCTGGGCCAGTCCTAAATATGTGCTGAGTATGCAGCCAAAATGGGTCTCTTTTGTGAAAACCCCTCTTAATTCGCATTCCCTCCCTACATATTCCCCCTCTCAATGGCCTACTATGGCCCCCTTTGAAAGATGTTGTGACATTATGCCCCATATTCTTTATAGAAATATTGTTATGATATGAATATGGCAACCCTAAGATATGTTTTATGCAAGATGGGTCATGTGAGATCATTGGAAAGGTTATGATTTCCTGAATGTGAGTATCCAATTTGTATGCATGTTATCCGTTCTGTATCTGAAGCTAGAAATATTGACTATGTAATAGTTACAACTGTGTTTTCACCTGGGAAACACCCACCAGACAGTATGCAAACAGCCTGGATGGGCCCTTTGGAAGGAAACTAGGACTTTAGATACTAATCTCCCTCCTTCCTGAGAAGTTTCCTGGGATGCTGCTTTCACACTGTAGGGTCATGTGATCATGTCACTTTGTACAGGATTCCATCCTGAAATGCTGGTACTTTTCCACGGGAAGGGGGTGGGGATCAAACTAGGAAACAACGGATTCCTGCCATATGCAAATCCTATTTAAGGCTGGGGAGTGAGTTAATCAGGGCTCTTCTCCACTGCCTCCCTGCCCAAGAAGGAAGACTGCTGAAAACACCTGAAGAAACAAAGGATCTTAAGTGAGGGGGAGGGCAGGGGCTGAGCCCAGGCAAGAAAGGTCAGCCTGCAAAAGGAATCTCTACAGATGTACGCTGCAAGCAGTGCAGTTTACCTTCAAGAAACTCTGAAACCTGCTTGAAACAATATTTAGGGTGAGAAATTATGATTTGTAGCCAGTATTTCTTAGTGCAGTGGTCTCCAACCTTTTTACACCCAAGATCACTTTTTGAATCTAAGGGCAACCCAGGATCTACTCTGCCCCTTCCCCAAAGCCCTGTCCCACTCACTCCATCTCCCCCCTCCGTTGCTCGCTCTCCCCCATCCTCACTCGCTTTCACCGGGCTAGGATAGGGAGCTGGGGTTCGGAAGGGGATGCGGGCTCTAGGCTGGAGCCCAGGGGTTCGCAGTGTGGGAGGGGGCTCTGGGCTGATCCTGGGGAAAGGGGTTGGGGTGCAGGAGGGGGTGAGGGGTGCAAGCTCGAGGAGGGAGTTTGGGTGCAGGAGGGGGCTCTGGGCTGGGACAGAGTGTTAGGGTGCAGGAGAGGGTACAGGGTGCTGGCTCTGAGAGGGGGGTCAGGGCTGGGGCTTGGGGCACTGGAGGGGGTTTGGAGTGCAGAAGCGGAGTTCGGGGTACTGGCTCTGAGAAGGGGGGTCAGGGATGAGGGTTGGGGTACATCAGGTGGCACCCTGGAAGGGGAGTCCAACCCATCACAGATGTACTCTGGGACATTCTCACCTCCCATTTGCAGAGGTCCTCCATAGTTGATGAGACATCCTTTTGAATATCCCCAGTAAAGACAGGCACTCTGACCCCCTTCCTCCAGTTGCTTAACTGTCCTCTCCTGCACTTTCCCCTAAGCTAAAGCATCCTTGATCTGTCCAGTTAAACCATCCCACTCCAAGATGTGTTATGCGAGTTATGGAAATATGTCTGAGACCCCACACCTCTCACTTCACAAAGCCATGCAGAATATTGGCCCAGTCCTGGCTTCAAGACAGACCTGACACTGTGCATCTTTGAGTGGCCTTTTGTGTCTTGGAGTTTTTCAGATAGAATGTTACAACCAAGTCCCTGAGCAAAAAGGCAGTTGAGTGAGCTTCCACAATGATTCAAATAAGTGTGTGTGGTTAATAAGAATATCTGGATGTATAATAATAATAAAGATTAAAAAATAGCCTAGAGCTTCTGAAGGGAAATAAGTGGCTCTTGTGCTCCAGGACATAAGCTAACTTCTAATGGGGCTAGAAAGATAATTTCTGTGTGGGCAGGTTATTTAATAACTGTGCACTGTAGGGTTTTTTGTACCTTCCTCTGAAGCATCAGGTACTAGCCAGTGTCAGAGACAGATATTGGATGGAGCACAGCTCTGTGGTATCATCCATCCATCCATCTCTCTCTCTCCCCTTCTCTAGAATAGACAATTTCTCTTTTCTCCCCAAAGCCTGCTAGGTAATGTCATTCATGTCTGCTTCTAAGACTCAAACAAGTTTTAAGTATTTGATATAAAATACTGGCATGTCATTTCTTTTTCTTTTGCAGTCACTGTATCTGATTGCTACGTGAGCCTGTGGCTGCCAACAGCTTCAAATAAAAAGGTCAAGACCAAAACCATCAAGAAAACTGATGACCCTGTCTGGAATGAGACCTTTTACTTCAGGATCCAGAATGAGGTCAAGGTAGTTAAGACAATGAGAATTCATCCTTATGAAGAGTCCAGAGGCTTCACTTTAAATCCTGCTGATCAAACAGAGTAGACAAATTAGGGAAATGCTCTTGAGACCGAATTCCAAAGAGCTGATTGTGCAGAGTAAAACAGAGATCAGGTGATTTATTTGAGACAATCTTGGTTATGGAGAAGCTGAAATCATTGGTCCTTGAATTGGGTGACAGCAAAGGCTCTCCAGAGAGGTACCATTTCTTTCCCCCATCACAGGATACAATAGATGATTGAAAAGACATTGACTGAATCATTATGCACCAGTTTCTTGGAATTTAGTTAATGACTGAGTTCCACATTGCTAGGCTCCTGAAGGAATGCACTGCCTCCTTTGTTCTTCTCTTCTCTCAGCTGAAAGATAATGTAACAAAGATTACTTAAATTTTTGTCTCTTTTAACTAGGGTATAGAATTCTTACACATCTTCCCTTCTGCTTCCAGAATATCCTAGAATTGACAGTGTATGATGATGATTCACTCACCAAAGATGACGCACAATTCACTGTTATGTTTGATGTTGCTAAAGTCAGGCCTGGAGAGGTAGCCTATGAGATATTCTCTTTGAAATCAGAGGTAAGAACTGAAATTTGAGGAGAGCAGATCCTGATGTTGCTGTCTCATCTGCTTCTCGTACTGACCTGGCTTTGGCTTTACATGAGCTGATACCCCTGTCCTGTTTCATTAAATGTTTGTTAGCAATGGCAGCAAAAATCTCTTTTCATAGATCCAGAAAAAAACATTTATTCTCTGTTATGCCATCATCTTTGTGAGAGGCTAAAAAATGTTGACAACTTGTTATCATTTAGGCCTGTCCAAAGTGCTATTTATCTTATGTGATCCAAATCAATAGCTTTCTACCCTTTGACTTAATTTTACTCTCCCCATGCTCAGATGCTTCCCTAAAAATGTGAAAAAATGGTGAAAAAACCTGAGGAAAACTCATACATTTCCTAAATGACACAATTATTTCAGGGGGAGAGGGGTTTGTTTTGCCAGGTTCTGTGGGTTTCCTTTCATTTGATTCTCATTTTCATTGGCCAGCAGTAAAGGGAAGCATAATCTGATAACATCCCTGATAGTCCAAGGGTCTGGTCGAAGAGATTTGTCCAGAAAGTAAAGCTAGGATAGTTCTGGTCTGAATGGGTTGATACCACAGATGCTTATTGTTCCTTTTTCTTTTCAGAAACAGGAGTCTCTGGAAGTAGAATTCAAGATGGAGAAAATGTGAGTAAAAAGTCCAAAGTTGTAGGCCCTTGAGTGGTATGTGTAGACTGGTAAGGTGCTAATAACAAATTCACAACAAGGATCAACATGAATGTAATATTGGAAATGTATCCTCCTCCTCCTCCATTTAAAAACAAAAGAAGAGGAGAGTTGAGATTACAGTTTTACTGCTTAACTTTGTTTTATTTTTACCTCATTATTCCAACACACATTGACTCCATTTATCTGTTTTGTACACCTATTGCAGGTGTTTCTAGTGGACAGAGGTCTGTTCTCAGTCCAGTGCTATTCAGTATTTTTATCAATGATCTAGGTGAAAACAGAAAATTATTGCTGATAAGATTTGCAGAGGACACAAAAATAGGTTGAATGGTAAATAACATCGGGATAAGTCAGTTTATAGAAACCAATTTGCATTGCATGGTAAGGTGAACTCTTTTGAACAAGATGTATTTTAATACAGCCAGAGGCAAGGTCTAGAGTAAAGAATGTAGGTCACACTTACAAGATGAGAGAGGGTATCCTGGATTGCAGTGGCACTGAAAAAGATTTAGGAGTAATGGTATAATTACCATGAGCTCCCAGTGCAATGTTGTAGCTAAAATGGGATTATGAGATATTTGGATGTATAAAATAAGGAGAATATCAAGTAGGGAGGTGGTGGTATGCATTAGTGAGACCACTGGTGGAATAATGCATCCAGTTCTGGTGACCACATTGCAAAGAGAATGTTGAAAAATTGGAAATGGTTTAGAAAACAGCTACAAGAATGATTAGAAAAGAATGGAATGGAAAACATGCCTTATGATAAGAGACTTTAAGAACTATTTAGTTTTATCTATGAGAAAGTTAAGAGGTGACATAAGCATCTTCTGCAAGTACCTACATAAGGAAGAGATCTCTGATAATATATGGCTCTATAATCTAGCAGAAAAAAACATAACGAGAAAGCTGAAGCTAGACAAATTCAGACTAGAAATAAGATACATTTTTTTGACAATGAGAGTAACTGACCATTGGAACAATTTCTCCATCATGCAGTCTTTAAATTCAGATTGTATGTTTTCCCCAGAGATATGCTATAACTCAAACAGAAGTTATAGGCTTGCTGCAGGAATCATTAGGTGAAATTCTATGACCTTTGTTATGTAGGAGGTCAGACTAGATCATTATAATGATCTCTTCTGGCCTAAAAATCTATGTATCTATGAAAACACTTATGCCTGTGCTTACTTTACTGTGAAATCAGAGTGTCTGAGATTTCCTTCCCCAGACCTAAAGAAGAACTCTGTGTAGCTCAAAAGCTTGTGTGTGTCACCAACAGAAGTTAGTCCAATAAAAGCTATTACCTCACCCACCTTGTCTCTCTCAAATCCTGGGACCAACACAGCAAACTTGCTTTATTACAACTGCCATGAGCAATCCCATTGATTTCAGTGGTCTCACTGACTTTACTACTAAGTGTAGTCTCATTGATTTACTCACAGTAATAAACAAACACATGCATAAGTGTTTGCAGGATCGAAGCCTTAGACTGTAAGCTCTCTGGGGCAAAGATTGTCTTTTATTATTGCTTGTCTGTATAGTGCCTAGCACAATGGGATCCTGATCCTTGTTCAGGATTCCTAGATGACCATGATGTAAATAATCTGGAGTAGTCAGACGGGATATTTCCTCCCACTTTAAAGCATTGCATAATTTGTATTTATAGTGGGTTTTGCTTTCCTCTTATGGATCATGTGATGGCTTCCAGTACAGTTAATCACAAATCAGGTTGATCTGTGGCAAAGACATTTGTGGCTTCCATAGAACTTGGTTTCAAGTTGGGACGGTTCACTTTAGCTCATCTGACCCTAGGCCTGAGTGCCGCAGGAGAACACGAGAACCCTGGGGTGAGCTCCACCTGCTCCCCTGAGATTGGAGTGAGCCTGTATGTTGCATTGAGCGTAGGTCGTTAGGGTGCCAACTGGTGAGATATGGCAGAACAGTTGAGCAACCAATCCAATGCCAAAGCTGCTCAGATGAATACCTCTCCCACCATATCATGCTACAGGCAGGATATGAATCTAGATGGACCAGGACCAATGTTCCCTGTAAGCTGCACACATGTGCAGCTGTGTGGTAATCTTGTATATGTTGCACAGGTCAGAAACCATGCAACTCATGTCTCCTCTGTGTGGCCCAGCAGGATGTGGTATGGCCCCTTAAGAACCTGCTCCACTCACCCCCAGGACAGGGTGTGTGCAGTCCCACCTCCCCACTGCAGAGTGGTGGAAGTGCTCCTGGTCTCCATGCTCCCCTGGCCGGAAGGAGGTGGCGGTGCTGGGATGCCCCTTGTGCAGGAGCTCAGTGAGGGGCCTGGCTGGGCTCTGTGGTGCCAGCGCAGGGCAGGGCTGCCCAGAGGATTCAGGGGACCCGGGGCAAAGTAATTTCGGGGGCCCCTTCCATAAAAAAAGTTGCAATACAATAGAATACTAAATTCTTGTAGGGGCCCCTGCAGGGCCTGGGGCAAATTGCCCCGGGCGGCCCTGGCTCAGGGCACTGGCAGCTCCGGAGGTGTGGCCTGATGCAGCCAAGGCATTGTCCCCGGTTCTCCTTGCCTGGCATGTGGTTTCCAGTGCTGCAGTGGTTGCTGCTGTTGAGAGGCAACAGGGGAAGGAGTTGTGGCCAGGCGCCTTCCTGGGATTGCCCAGCGGGGGGCCCTCAAAACCTCAGCCTGGGACAGGTGCAGTCTGACACATCCCATATCCTGCACAGACCCCTGGCTGGGCTACTGCTGATGCAGAGTGGATGGCTGCAGGGACTAGTTTGTGATACTGGGAGTAGCCACCCTGGGGCAGTGTCCCCTGTACAACTCCCTCCTCCACCACATATGTGCACACACACCTCTACATCCCCTACCCCATGCACACACAATCACCTTACACATCCCTACATCCCCGGTGTGCACACAATGACCTCATCTGTCTTTCTGTCTCTCACACACTCACACATACCCCCTGCACACTCCTCCTCACACCCTGCACACAATCCTCACTTAAATAAAAATGTAAGCTTACCCAAGGACAAATATGTGCTCAGTGTAGTCTGTAGCCCCTGTAGTATATATACACTAAATAAATAAAAAAATTAGAAGGAACATTGACCTGGGCACCAGTCTAGGTGGTCTGCTCTGTTATGGACTGTCTTTATCCCAAGAGGAAGTTTTAAACTTCAGTTGTTAGTTTTTGTATTAGGTTTTTTTTTATTTTTGGTTTCTCAATGTGATAGCAGCTGTGTATCTCTATTGTCTAACTTTGTAAAGTTTTGCTTAATCTGCTTAGTGAGTGCCCATATTTCTGTTCCATACTTTAGGGCTCTCAGAATACATTAGTGTTTTGTAGTAATTTTTAAGCAGGGAAGCCATTTGTTCTTAACTGTACAGTGACAAGTGCTCATTTGAAAAAAATCCTTCAACACAATAAAATTGGTTTGATTTTTTTGGTTCTGTTTTTTCAGTCCTGGTCCTCCTGAGAAGCTCATTACAAACGGTGTCCTAGTAGTAAGTTTAAATTTGACTTTTCCTTTGTTCCTTCCCTTTGTGTCTTCCCTTCATTGTTTCTTTTCCCTGTGCCAGAAAATCCTTTTTTGTACTTTATACAGAGGAAATAAGTCAAAATGATAGGTAGTAGCATGGGTTTGAAAGAAAGAAAGAAAGAAATGAAGTAGGGATTCCCATCCGGTGTGTTTTCAGCATTGCATTCTCCATGCACAATAAATATTCCAAAACATGTATGACATCCTGGCAAGTTGATGGGAAAACTATCATTGACTTAAATTAATTTAGGATTTTGTCCCATATATGGTTTGTAAAGGCAGCAGTGACCCAGATCAGCAGGGTTTCCTAGACAGTGTTTCTTTCTAGATCTGCTAGAAAGTCTTCACCATGAGAGCCTTTATTCTGTTTACTTTGGGTCATGTGTAGCATCACAAGGGTAGGGAGGGTGCAAATATTTTTTCTTGCCCTCTTCAAAGGCCAGCCACAATGTGGCTGAGGCATGTAGGTACTGTGCATTGGCATTAGCCTTAAGTGGGGTGGAGTGAAGGTGAGGCTGTTTCCTGTAGCAACCTGCATGGAACTTGGAGGGAGGAGCACAGGTTGCAGGAGGGAAGAGTTTGGAGGAGGCACCTGGAAGACTCTCGGCATGCACGTGTTTGGAATGCTAGCCGCAGTTGCAGCCTCTCTTAATAAACGGCCAATTTAGTTTTACAAGCTTGGAGTCTCTCATGTTATTACTCAGCAGGTGTTACATGAAACATTGCCAATCCTCCTGGGCCATGCCTCCCAACAGTCTTGGATTTCGCAGGGATCTCACTTTGACCCTCAAAGCCCCTCTTGCTTGAAGGCCACTTTGCCCCAATCCCTTCATTTGATGGCATGTGACATGGTGCACTGGCTCACAGCACCAGTCAGGGTTGGCCCGTTTGCCTCTCCGTGTCCATCTACGAGAGGTGGATGGGCCAAACCTGAGTGGCACTGCGTCCCACTTTCGCTACTTTGGACTGCTGAAAGGTATGCCCTTGGCTGGCCCAGTGCCTAGGGAGCACAAACTGCACCCTACCAAGTAGTGGAAGAGCTGCTGGCAGCGTACACTCCTCAGGAACCTCTCCTTACAACTACCAATCCCGGGTTGTCTTTTGAAGTAATGTTTTATCCCTTTCCCCTTCATTTCCTGAATAAGGAGTAAGACTTCGGGCCATAAATTTTCCAGCCATGCTGTCTGAATGTGCTTTTGTTAATGATTTAGTATAAGTTGTCCTTGAAATGTCCCAAGGAGCTACAGTAGCATTAACAATGCATTAGAGATCAATTGGAATAAATTGTAGGGAAGATAGTTGAAGTAACCTCGATCAGGAACAGTGGGAAGCTGACATACATGCTCTGATTATGATACAAACTGCACAAGAACCCATAAGCTGTCCATGTCTCCAGTCTTCACCCCCATTAGTAGATTTCTTTATCATCCATTCTTTCACTGATTGTCACTCACAGTCTCGTGAAGTTTGCTGCTTAGAAGTTCAGGTGGACAAGGAGGAGAATAAAAAGTATTTGAAAGGTGAGTCCATTTCCTGGGTAGGGTAGCAGGCAACAAAATCTACCCTTTTAGTAACCTGCTATTTCCAGCTGCAGACACATTACATCACAGTGAGGACTGTTTCTAAATAGCCCTTTGAATGACAATAAAATATGGTGCAATGAAAGTCTCTGAGCTGCTTTTCTCAGCCTCGATCCTCTTTCAATTTTAACTGTTAACTTAAAGGAAAAGGGATAGAGTTACCAAGGTGGCACATGCTTTTATGGGTGGGAAAAAGTGGGGGAGGGGATCCCCCCAAGTCAACAGTGGGAAGGCCAATATAGCTCAAATTTCCTTTTGTTGAATGAGAATACTGGCTACTGGCCATTTTTGGTTGGCTGCTGAAGGGTTGTGTGAAAGATGTAAACTGCACAGAAGGAAGTGTGCCAGCTTTGTTGGTTGTTGTACTCCGGAGTCAGTCATGTTCCCTGTATAAATCTGTTTTCTCTAGAGAATAAAAATGTTGTGCTTACGGTGGATGCATCATATGAAGGAACACAGAAAACCACTACGGACTCGGATATTTTCCGCTTTCACTGCATAAAGAGTTGGGAGCCAATACTAAAAGCCAGGCTGCAGGTAATATCCTCTCTTCGTTATCCTTTGTTACAACTCTCCCACCCATTTACAGTGGATGAGATGCTCAGTTGTTCAACAGATTTGAAATGTTTCCTGCCTCCAGATAAAACAGTTAAGTTCCCCTTCCCCCAGTGTGTTTCAGATACAGAAGAGAATAAAGACAATTCAGATGACTCCTTAACAATACCCTTGACATTACTTGCTGTGGGACAGAAAGTGAAAGTAGGCCTTCCTGTAGAAAAGGTGAGTGCGTCGTCATTTACATCGACTTTTGCTGAAGGAAGCAAAGATAAAGGTCGGTTGAATGAATAAAGGAAAATAACTGTTAAGCATTATAGCAATTGGTAATCTGTTTAATTTATCAATAAACTAGTGGGGTGGACAGGAAGCTGGGATAAAACTAGCAGGTTATTGAGGCTTCATAGATTCTATGCTGTCTTGGAGAGTTCACTGTCTTTAGAGTAGTGACGTTTTATTGGTCTGAGCACTGTTGGGACATCCCTTTATGAAGGTGATGAATATGGGTGGGTGTGCCCAAAACTAAGTTTCCTGAACAGCAAGAGTAGCAGTGCTCTCCGGCCAGCTGGATATTTTTTAATCTTAATCTAAAAATGTTTGACTGATTGACATTTGTGGACATCATCCCTGGAGCTGGCTAGCTGACTGCTCCTCCAGTTCTAATAGACCAGGCAGAGCTAGAGCAGTGCCAATCCAACCATCTCCTCTTACTCAGGGCCGGCGCAACCCATTAGGTGACCCAGGCAGTCGCCTAGGGTACTACAATTTGGGGAGTGGCATCCGCAGCGGTATTTTGGCGGCGGGACCTTCCGCCGCCTCTGTGGGGGGCGGCATTTTGGGGCTGGACCTTCCGCCGCCTAGGGTGTCAGAAAAGTTGGCGGCGCTCCTGCTCTTACTCTGCCAGTGGGGACCGTGCTTCCTCTTCCAAACCTCATGGCAGGCTTGGGGTGAGGCTAAGGAGTGAAGAAATTAATCCCTCAGGAGCCTTCCTCCCAGGGAGAAGGGAAAATGAAAATCTTTCTGACTCCCTCTGGATCCCCCATCCCTAGAAGTCTCAGTGTTCCCCTCTTCAGCAGGCCCTGACTTCTTCTTTCTTACCGTTAGCAGCCTTTTGATGGGACCTAGTGATTTATATCCCTTCTCCCTCTGCCTGGTCTTCAGTGGACTGGCTGGTCCCCTTCCTCCAACATTTGTCTTGGTGTGAGGGGAAGCCTGGTACTGCTGCTCAGGCTGGCGTGCTGATCCACCACTCCATTTAGGCATCCACAGGGAGGCGGGTGGCCTATCCCACTCATTCAGCAGTGGAACCAGAAACAATGCTGTCAATTCCACTGCTGCTGAAACTTTAGGCTGTCTAGAACATCTATTGGGGGCAATAGGCTTATTTACTCCCCTTCTCCTTCCCAAGGATAACAGAGGAGGAGGGTGGGAAGCCATTCATCTCCGAAGACACGGAGATTGGGGAGTTAAAAACCATCCCTCTCACTAAACCACCATTGTTCATTTATTGAAATCTTACCCGTCTTTTTAATATTGTAATTCTTTGCTTTTAGGGTACAAAGTTGGAGCTGCAGGTCCAAGTAAATGATTGGTAAGAAATCCTCTTTCTCCATAATGTTCTTATTGCTTCTTGGGGCAGCTACTTCTAAAGCACTTGAGAGGAGAGGCAATTCTTGACTTAATCCTAAGTAACACACACAAGTCAGTTCAATAAGTCACTGTAGTAGAGCCACTGGAAGAGGGACCACAATATAGTAAACATCCTTGGGGAAAATCATAACATAAATGAACACCATGACATTAAGTGAGAAAGGAGAATTTGAAAACTGAGGAACCTAGTTGCAAAGGCCCTAAAGTGAATGAGAAAATTAAAATCCTTAGTCTCAGCATGGAGCCTTCTTAAACATACCACAGCAGAGTCAGAGAAGCAGGAAAGCACTAGAAAAAATGGATAGCATTTAAAAAGCAAGGTTCAAGAGGTTATTCAAGGCAAATAGCTATCTTCCAAAAAAAGAAATCCAGCCCAAGTGAAGTCAATAGAAAGGAGCACTAACTAGGGAAAGTAAAATGTTAGGATGCACGAAGATCAGAAAATACAGAACATAGTATTTTACAATACCATCAATCAATCATGCAGCCTCGCATGGAATCCTGTGTTTGGTTCCGGTCACCATATCTCAGAAAAGATGCATAGCAGATATAGCAGGGGTGCCGGTGTCAAAACTAATTAGAGGAGTGAAGAGATTTCTCTCCAGCTTAGCTATCTTTCAATGACTGAAATACCAGATATGCTTGGAGAATAAGCTTGTTGTCAGGCTGGTCCTGCCAGATATGTGCTGAAATTCCATTCATCTCACTAGACTTTCTAGTGAAAAACATAGAAAGGTTTTCAAGACAATGCAAAAGTGTGAAGAGGCTAATGTCAGTTGTTTGCTCTGAGGCTGTGGGACTGGTTTGTGTGTCTGTAAATCTGAATGGTGAATCATGATTCTTTATAGAACTTAGTTGCTGAAAATGTATGTTTAAATTTTAATAAGCTGATCTGGGCCTGTGTGATTACATATCATTATGTATGTTCCAGCCCAGAGAGTCTAGATGTGCGTTTAGGGTACAATCTGTGTGAAGAGGAGCAAGATTTCTTGCAGAAAAGGAAGAAGGTGGTTGCTAGTGCCTTGAAAAAGGTTCTTCAGCTGAGGAGAGATCTGCATGAGCATGAGGTTTGTGAGTCAGTCAGTCCTGTGACTGGGGTGAGATTATGGGAGAGGAAAATATATTTCAGATATGGTGAGTCTGAATCTGTGTGGTTCCCAGTGAATTTCACCTTCAGCCCTTCTATGTTGCAGGCAAATCCATTGATTTTAATGGAGCTGGTACAGAACCCCAAAGTGCCGTATTTAAAAATGATTAAGGATCTTGGAATTATGCACACTGAGTAGTGTTTAAAAATGCTGCCTTGTATGTCCAGCTTTAATATTAGAGCTGGCCGAAAATGGGAAGTGTAGTCCAGCCAGGGACCCTGGTCCATAGAGGAGAATGGGGGCATGAGGCCCCAGAAATTCAACTCCCATAAGACATCCTGTGTGCGCTTCTGAATTGAAATTTTTCTGGTTTTGATTTTTCACAAAAAATTCTTGTTATTCCACAGTATCTGCTTTGCTGCTAAGAACCAGGATGATTTTTGAATTTAACACTTCCCTTTCTAGATGTGTTTTTGTTAGAGTTAAATAAATAATTAATAAAGAATAATTTCATTTGATGAATGTATTGTTTCCCTCCCTCCTCCGCACCTCTTGCTCTTATCTCACTAAGCAGACCATGATTTCCTTGAATTCTTTCATTACTAGATCTTTTAAAAATTTTCTTGATGCTAAGGGACAAATTCTTATCTGGTATAAATCATCACAGTGCCACTGGTAATGGGTGAGGAGAAGGAGGAGACTTTGCATGTTTATTCAAAATTTTAAACTTTTTTAGGGTTCAGTTGAGACTAATGGAACCCACATACCTTTTGAGGTTCACTCCTCACTAACATCAATGAATAAGATGACTCTCCTGAGGACTGACTAAACATTGGCTCTATTTAAGCTTTCTCCGAGAATATCCGCTGACTCCAACCCCAGATCTTCAGTTGTCTTTTCTGGGTAGGCAGGTAGCTAAATGTTAAGGTTAATGTTTGTTTTCAACAGATCCCAGTGATAGCTGTCATGGCAACAGGAGGAAGTGTCAGGGCAATGTCAGCAATGTATGGCCACCTCTTAGGTCTCCAGAAGCTGAATCTCTTGGACTGTGCTACCTATCTCACTGGTACTTCTGGTTCAACATGGTGAGGACAAGAGAGGGGCTTTATTTATTTATTTTTAATTACAGCTCCAGAATGGCTGTGACTCTGACATTTCAGTGCAGTGACAAATGCTTGTAACGTGTTTAGATCCTTTGTGTTCTTGAATGCTCCTAGTCCATTGCTAAAACTTGGAGTTGGCTTTTAAAACAATTTCAGTTTAGGACTGCTAAATCTCTCCAAGTTTTGTCTCTTTTTCAACCCCTCTCTTCTAAAAAACCACAAATCATTGTAGAAAGCCTTAGGAGGTTCTACTTGCCCTCACATAGAGATACTCTCTGCTTTTCCCCATCACTTTTGTATATTCCCAGCCTAAGGCTATGGTTACACTACTGCCGGATTGATGCGCCAACGATTGATGCACTGGGGGTCAATTTAGTGGGTCTAGTGAAGACACGCTAAATCGACTGCAGATCGCTCTCTGGTCAACCCTGGTACTACACCTGGAACGAGAAGAGTAAGGTAAGTCGACGAGAGAGTGTCTCCCATCAACCCAGTGTAGTGTAGACACTGCAGTAAATCAACCTAAACTAAATTGACTCCAGCTATGTTATTCACGTATCTGGAGTTGCGTAACTGAGGTCGACTTACCACAGTAGCGTAGACATTGCCTAAGTCATGTATATAATCAGAGGCTTCCAATCCTGGCTCTGCCACTGACTCTTTGGTAAATTTGGGGAAGTCACTTAGGATTGGAGCTGACCACAGGATGACAGTTCTGTTTCGCAGAAACTTTTCAGGTTTTGAAATTTGGTGTCATTCTGTGCTGGAACAAAAGAAAACTTTTTGATGATTTTTGTGAAAATGGAATTATATTGAAATGTCTGTTTTTGGATTGAAACCTGTATTTTTTTTTTTTTTTTAGGCGGTGGAGTGTTTAGGTCACTGGCTTGGGAGACCCAGGTTCAAGTCCCAGTTCTGCCTAAGTTAGAACAGTTTTTCCTCCCAGATCACACTGAATCAGGCAGGGACTTTGAACCGGGGTCTCCCACAGTGCAGGCCAGTGCCCTAACCAGGCTATAGACTATAAGAAAGCACACTCTCTGTCTCACTTTCTTCCTTCTCCTTCCTGATGAAAACCAGAAAAACTGATATGGCTTCATGAAAGGTTTTGGCTTTGCTGAAACAGTATATTGCAGTGAAATTTTCATTTTTGTCATAAATGTTCCAACCAGATGTATTTAGGACAGAAATCCTGCTCCCAGTGCAGTCAGTATAAACCCTGCACTGAGTCCAAGGGGTTAGGAGCAAATGCTTAACAACTCTCCGGGTTACTCCATCGGCAAAATAGGAATAGCAATTCTGGACACGGGGCCCAATCCAAGCCCTCAGATCCAAACACCCCCAAGCTCTTCGAGGAACACTGGATCTGGATCTGAATACTGTAAACCAAGAACATCCATAAATAATTCTCACCTGCTTCATAGGAGTGTGGTGAGGTTTAATTCATCAAAGTTTGTAAAGTGCCTTGATGTCCTTGAGTGGAAGACACTAGGTAAATGTAATGTGTTTTTATTATTAAACCGATTCTTGTTTTGTTAACATCACCTCTTTGCTTCAGGACCATGACCAACCTGTACAAAAATGCCAACTGGTCACAGAAAACTCTGGAAGGGCCAATCAGTCTAGCAAAGAAACAGGTGATGAAGTGCAAGATGAATGTTATTTCCATGGAGCATCTTAAATATTATCACAAAGAGATGATTAAGAGGGCAAAAGGAGGACACATCTCATCTTTTACAGAGCTGTGGTCACTTGTTCAGGAAGCGTTTTTACATGATGAGGTACGTACAGTGCTTCCTGGAGCATGTACCTGCTATGCCATAGCTAAGGAAAATGATTTCTCTGTTTCTTTGAGCCTTTAATGACAATGTGGGTGCGTGCAAACATATAGTCTCCTAAAATATAACTGTTCAGAAATAGAGGTGGATAAAGTTCACCAAAGTGCCTAAGTCCTATGTTTAAAGGTGACTTAAGATTTTCCAAAGCATCTAGTGATTTTGAGTGCCTCAGTTTTTGAGTGCCCAACTGATTTTCGAAAGGTGCTGAGCAACCATCCTCTGAAAATCAGCCGCCTTTACAGGTGTCTGCAGTTGGGCACTCAAAAGCTGAGTCACCAAAATTACTAATAACTTCTGCAAATTTGCCTCTGCCTCATTAAAGGTCAATAGGAGTTAGGTGCCTAAATCACTCAGATGCTTTTGAAAATGTTACCTGGTGTCAAAAAAAAATCCAGGCAGAGATTTGGAGGCCACTTCTGAAAATATGTCCAATAGATTCATACATTTGGTATTAACACATCTATTTATGCTGCCCAGGTAGACTCTGTTGGCAGCTTCTTCTTATTGCATTTCAGATTGTTTGTTTCAATTTTCCTTATGCTCTTTGTGATATTTTGTGTCTCCTTCATTAGCCAGAGGAGAGTAAACTCTCAGATCAGCGCAAGGCTGTGGATCAGGGTCAGAACCCCTTGCCTCTCTATGCAATCCTCAATGTCAAAGCGGAACAAATCAGCACTTTTAAATTTAGAGGTAAGTGTTCCAAGCTTTACCCGTGTTTCTGAATTCAGTTTCTTAAGGGTCAGAGAGTCTAAAGAGATTTTCAGAAGGGAAAAAATCCCCTCCTGCTCAGCACCAGTTCTGGAAGGTTCACCTTTTACTGGAGTGAGAAAGGAATTTGTCCTTACCTGGGAACTGCTGGGTGCTCATTACTTTTGAAGATGAGAGGAGATGATTTAGTGGCTAGGGCACTTGGACATGAACAGGGAACTTGGATGTAGACTCAGGAGACTGGAGTGTAGTTTCCAGCTGAGCCACAGACTTTGTGTAACCTTGGGCAAATCACTTAATGTACCTTGTGTTTTAGTTCCCCATCTGTAAAATCAGGAGAGTACTTCTCTACTGCCCTTGGATACTACTGTGAGGAGGGCCATATAAATATCTAAACAGGCAATGATCTGATCTTATTTAGAAGCCTGAATCTGGGCTTTGAAGTCCAATGTTAGGCGCACATTTTTTGAAAATCTTGGCCTTAGCATCTGTGATGGTTCTCAGCATGCTCAGGAATGTGAGTCACCTTGTTAAGCGCCAAAACGGTCTCCCGTGGGCTATGCCAGCACTTACTTTGCCTTGCAGCTTAACATTAGGTTCACCCCAGTCCCTGACCCCCCATTTGAATCATTTCATTGTAGAGTCCAGCCCTTATCCACTGAACACTCACAGAAATACTAGGTATTCTGTCCCCAAGGGAACCATGTGCACAGCAGCTTGTCTGAATCAACCCAGGACCAGTTCTTGTATAACATCACAGCACTGAGATTTATAGTGAAAACAATCTATCTTAAGTTTATTATCAAAGGTTAAGATTTAAGAGATAGTGAGTAAGGATAATGGAAACAGAAAGGTTACATATAAAACAAAATCAATACCTGCTTTCTAGAGACTAAACTTAACTTTAACAGAGTAACCATCAGTCTAAAAGCAGTCTTATGTCACCTAAATGTTCTTTACCGTGTTTCCAACCAGGGCAGGTTGGGATCCCATTTTCACAAATGTAATTGCATTGCCTTCCGCAAGTGCAGGATCAAGGGGTGTCCTTTTGCCTTCTCCTTATATCCCCAAATTTCATTGTTTGTCCCCAGAGTCAGGACAACTCCCTGTGGTTCAGTCTCTGATGTCTTGCCTCCCTGTTGACTTTCCATCTCCCTGTTGACTTTATATGTAAATAGGGCTTCAATTGTGTTGACTTACAATGCTACACGTGAACCAAGATAGGTAGGTGGATATATGCCCTTTGTCTGGAAAAAAATCCATTTGTCAACCATACTTTGATTCAAACGTTAGGAGCATGTTTTCATTATGCATACGCAACCTTTTACATAATAGCCACACAGACATTTCACAATAATATTAATGATCAGCATGATCCTGGCTTTCATGTAAGATCTTACATGACGTGGTTTATGGATAAATACCATGAAAGCGGTGTGTTGGGGTAATGAGTTTGTCAGGCCTGTTAGGAATTGCTGTTACACAACAGTGAACCCGTTGCCAGTTGGCACCAATTGGCCTCTATGTCAGAGTATCCAGATTCATTCAATCCTGGGCTTCCACCCAGGGCTTCATCAATGGGTCTCTCAACTCTTATCTGGAGAGACAATATTCTCCTGAGATGAGAAACCAATTTAGTCTCCATGTACATCAGCTCCAAATGTTAATGAAGAGGGTAGTAGGGCTTATCGTATACAAGCTACTGTCAGCACAGAGGAGCTGGGAAGAGCAAAATTGTTTGATTTGTGAATTGCTTTATCCATCTGCGTAAGTCTCATTTTCTTTTCCTACTCTCTTAACATTATAATAAAAACCTTGTGTGTCAATCCTTTTGTAGAATGGGTGGAGTTCTCACCTTACGAGGTGGGATTCCAGAAATACGGAGCCTTCATTCGATCAGAAAATTTTGACAGTGAGTTCTTCATGGGGAGGTTGGTGAAGAAACTCCCAGAGTCTCGGATCTGCTTTCTGGAAGGTGACCTATTATTCATGGAATATAGCCTAATGAAAACACCATAGAGAACATAAATGTGGCACTGGCTAGCTACAGGCCTATATATTGCAGTCTTAAACAGCCAGACTCCTAGGGTCAAATTTACCCAGATCCAATGGAGTAGAATACTGCCAACTTCAAAAGTTCAAAAATCATGATTCGGTCTCCCTAAAATAATGAGTTTAAAAAAATTATATTGTGTTTTTGATCTATCTTTTGATTTTTGAACTCCCCCTGCCCCCTCCCCCACTGACAGATCAGAGTTGCCAACTCTTCCAAATACAGAGTTGGCTGGTTTTGGCTCTCGCAAAGATTCCAGCTTTTCCTCAAACCCCAAATTTCTAAATAATCTGTGCCCTGCAGCCCCACATCTACCCACCCCCCAGCCCAGAAATGAATTATGTACTTACCAGCCCCCACGTCCATTCTCCCCTACCAGCCCCCACACCTGCCCATCCCATAGACCACCAATTAGTGATGCATTCCCAGCCCCTCATCACTTCTGTCCCATCATTCCTACATCTGCCCCTTGCCCATCTGTCTACCTCTGGTCCTCCTGCAGCTCTAGGGATTCTTCACCCCCTTCCCAGACCTGGTGGCACAGAGATGGAGGGGGAGGAGCAGCCAACAGAGCCAATCCATTTTTTCATGGGAAGGGAGGAGGAAGCAGCGTCACCCTGAGCTGCTGGGGTCTTTCTGCTCCCTCCTCTCCTGTGACAATGGTGTCAACTTTCCCCTGCCCTACCCCCAAACTCCTCTTGACTCTTGAGGGGAGAGAGCCATCATTGGTTGCTCTTCCCCAGGAGGCAGGCATGTGGGGAAGGCAGCCAATCAGAATGGGTTCCCCCCCTTTAAGCAGGGCTGAAATCCATGCAAGGGCAGGAGCTTCTGGCATCACTAACTGGCTCCACTAGGGGCTAAAACTGTCTTACTCTCATTGCAAGAGATGGCAACACTGGCAGTCGCACCATGATTGAGTTTGGCCTCTTATGTGTGTGCATGGAGGGAACAAACCCTGCATTGAGGGCACAAGAAGTGGGAATTCCTTGCACCCCAACAGATACATGCCTTCATTTATAAATAGAAGTAATAACACTTGATTAGATAACCTCCTCTTGGGTGCTGGTGATTTCATGCAAGAGAAAAGCGTGCTGTTGGGGAGCAGCAGATGTCTCTGGGTCTCATTTACATAGTAAATGCTGTCCCTGTGGGGTCTCTGCAGTGCTGTGGTAGCCATCTCTCTTGAAACAGTACCTGGAACCATGCTAGGTGTGCCACGGCTGAGGCAAGCTCCGTATGTGCTTCTGTTGCTAAGGCCTTATTAGCCCTCACACCTGGTGGAGCTCAATGCTGTTCCTCAACTGCCTTCAACACCAGGCTGCTCCCACAGTCCCAGACACCTTGCTTCCGTGTCCCATGCCTCCCAACTGCCATCCTAGCATCCACCCCCAAATCTTCCCCCCGCTGGTGCCCTCTCACTCTCTTCAGCCTGATGGAAAGAGCAACAACAGCTACACCCTTAGCAGATGTTACTAATAATAGATTCACTACATTGTGTTCTGCTGGTCTATTACTGACCCAAAGACCAGTTCACAGAAAGGTCTTAGGTTCATTCTGCTTCATCACACCTTTTTGTCAATATTATACCCTCTATCTCCACTAATACACATGGGCATTAGAGGAGCTCTTTTGGGTGGGTGAAGTCTGTACTTTGCTGCCCTCCAGTAGAGTGAGAGAATGCAATGTTCACCAGCATCTGAGGAGGAGCTTTTCTTGTCTGAGCTCTACCAATCTTTGTAGCCGAAGTCCCAGATTTGCTATTTTATCTAGGGCACTATGTTACAGCACAATCAACTCAGACTACTGAATTATACTCAACATGGGTTCTTGTAAGTAAAAATTCATGACATTTTTATCCAGATGAGATAAACCACTGGTTAACTTGAGCTGATATGGTGTTTCTCTCATGTGGTTGGACTTGCAGGTATCTGGACTAATGTTTTTACTCGGAATTTGCTGGATTGCTTATACTGGTCCTCAAATTCAGATGAATTCTGGGACCACTGGGCCAAAGACATGGTAGATATGGGTAAGAGTTTAAAGCGTTTTAAGAGCAACATATATTCTTGCCTTAACTGACCGCATAGTTCCCATTATCAAGGAGAGGATTAGGAGAAGATACATTTCTCCTACTTCTGCTAATGAACCCTCACAAACTCTCTAAACACCAGTGCATTACCTGTATTCTGTTATTCCACTGTGGTTACCAGTGGATCCCCCAGTATGATTTTCACTTATATCAGATTTTCTCCGATAGCATTGTGATAATATGGGAGTCTTCCCCTTGTGACAGAAATGGGTTCATTCTGCACGGAGGCCATGTAGGACTCTGATACCAGTATATTACAGTGTAACCTTTTGTCTGCCTCTTCCTCAGCTGATCAATATTGTGTTGCCATTGTTTCATATTCGGTAATGGCGCTGGGTCAGTAGCACTGCCCTTGCCTTATTTTTGTGTCTTTTAAACAATTGAAATGGAAACTCTTGTAAAGATCAAAATAGGACCAAAATCAAATAGGACCAAGAATCCTAAAGTGCTAGTATCATCCTACTAGCCAAAAACAACTTATCACTCACCTTTCCATTCACCTGGTGACCCTTCCAATCTCATCCTGTTGAACCCAGCCATATTTAAGTCCTAATTTAAAATGTTTTGATTAGTTTTAATTTTGCTCTCAAACCACTAGTTCACTTCAACTGTGACTATGCAAAGGGTGGGGCAATTGGTGATGTCAGGCTGTCAGCAGGGCTATGAAGCAAGCATGTCATTTGAAAGACTAGAAGTTGGAAATTGTTCTTTAAATAAAAAAGAATCAAATATGATCAACTGTTTCATTAAAGTGTGTGTGTGTGTGTGTGTGTGTGTGTGTGTGTGTGTGTGTGTGTGTGTGCGTGTGTGTGTAGAAAGAAGTGAGAG